TCACATTTTTATCAGTTTAGTAAAAAACACAAACCATCTCATTTTATCAGATCTCTAAGGCAGTTTGGTATTTAGGTTACAAGGTGTGCGGCTGGGAGTTCAATTCTTTTCTGTGATAAGCAGAGATTATCTGAGCCACTATTCTATATTAATTTCTCAGATATATGAGGCCTGTCTACTCACATTCAAAGATTTTCCTTAACTTGTCTTTATTTAAATTGTTCAAGTCCCTTCTCATAAATGAGAAATATTAAATAAATGGCTGCTTTCATAAAAGAAGCGACTAGCAGAAATAATGTGCAACTTCTGTGAATAAGCTTTTCATTAGCATTTAAAATAACAAATACTATTTACAGACCAAAGACTATACACCATGAGTTTTACGAATTGGTCCCCAGTCCCCACTTCAGTGTATCATTACACAAAAGACACAGCTACTCGGGAAACCAAGGCTCCGAGAGGGCAAGCCACTGTCCGCGGCCTCCTGCTGAGGGGCCAGGACGGACCCGAACCCAGGCCGGCTTAGTCTGAAGTCCATGATCGCGGATTAAATCATTGCCAACCACTCCACTGTGCCACGTGTCTCCTCTGAGCGCCCTGTTTCATCAAATCTGAGATGCCATCAATGGCAGCCGATGGCGTACAACGCTGCCCATTACGGCTATAAAACACCATCAGCTGGAAGGTACGTCACAATTTCAGAAATATTAAAATGAGGATGTATACATACACAAATATACACACTTACATATCTTAGATTCAATAAAATACGGTATTCACCTAGCCTTGGAACAAATTATTCCTAATAAATGCCTCTCTAAATCCTTTAGAAAATTAATTTTGCCATGACGTTCAGAGGAGAAAGAGATAAATCTTAAGGATGAATCAAGTTATAAGGAACTGGGAACGTTCACTAACACATACCCCCCTTTAAAATCATTTCTTCTCATCTGCGACATGAAATCGCATTCTTTGTAACGTGAAGCACTGTCAACATGCTGCCCACCCATCGACGCGACCCAACACTTACTCGTATTTTCATACTTCCAAGTGCATGAAAAGCTGTAAGCACGTTTTTTTAGACTAAGCCATAAAAGGGGACTTCAAACCTGTTCTTCTCTGTTTCCTCCAAAAGTTAGGGAAAATGACAGTAATTTCTCATCCCATACCAAACAAAAACATATTCATTGCTAAACACATAGCTGTAAGTCTGTAAAACCAAAGACCACTGACACTTCAGAAAAACACTCTCAATAAATTTTATACTTTAATGACTGGAAATGCATCGACCTTCAGGGCCTCTTTTCGCTTCCTCTAAAAGTGCTTACGTCATACACCCACACGGTATCTATCCCCTCTCCGGTGACCTGGTCCGGGGTCCAGTTCGGGAAGGGGAACCGGCAAGCGATGACTCTAGCGTCACCCTCAAGCTCGAGCTCAAATTTCTTCTCCAAGTGCAGCATCTGTGGACATGACAGCCATTATGTCAGGGAACAGTGATTCAGAAGAAGTGATTCCCAAATGTCCTTCTGTATTGACCACCCGAAAAGATCTGTGCAAAAATCGCTCATTGTAAAAAAGATCACTTCACGGCATAAATACATTAACAAACAACCTGTTAAAATACAGAAGTCTATTAACAGTTATAAGAACAACTTCTAGTATCAATTATGAAATATGTCAATTTTAGCACATGTGTATCACAGGTTTCTGGTTTTCTAACTAAAATCATGACGTGGCAATAATTAAAATGAGAAGCAGATTTAAATTATTAACCCACCTAAACATTTCAATCTACTATGTCTCAATCATTTAACACATACTTTTCCACATTTTTAACATTTCTGCAATCTTACAATTGACATTGTCTTAGAATAAATGGCAATATTTTTTTCTTACTCAACAGCAAAGGTGCATCTTAAAATCAATACCGTCTAGCATCAATAAAATGGAATTAGACTGTGAAAAATATACACATTCATAATGAAATATTTCGTATTTTCTAAAAAATACATCTATATCTACTGATAATTTCTTGCTAGTCGGCCTAACTTATAAAAAGTAAAATCTTCTTATCACTTCAGTATCATTTTATTACCAATCTACCTGTGAAGAAAGCGTTTTATTGGTTGTAAAAGTACTCCCATCGTAATGACATCAGCGAATTAACAATCACTTAAAAGTTTATCTTCAGGTCCTAAAAACATATTACCACTTTCACCTCCAAGAATATTCTTTCCACTTCTTTCTTTTGTTATTTTGAAACAATTTCAAATTTACAGAAAAGTCACAAGAATAGAACAAAGAACTCCCATACACCTTTACCCAGGTTCGTGAATTTTAGGTTTGTCATATTTGCTTTATCCAGTTTGCCCTCTTCCCTTCTCGAATTTTTTGTAATTTGAGAATGAGCTGCAAACAACATGCCCCTTTATTCCTTGATGCTTCAGTGTCTTCTAAGAAAATATTTTCTAAGAAACAGCCACAGCAGTATGATGTTCAGGAAACATAACGTTATAGTCCAATGAAATAAACGTCCCAATTACGTCCTTTATGACGCCCGTCCCCAGTCCAGGACCCCAGACTGCAGTTCGCTGTCTCCTCGCTCTCCTTTAATCTGACAGGTCCTCCAGCTTTGTCTCCGACAATAACATCCTTTAAAAATACGGGAGTTATTTTTCCAAATGGCCCTCACCTGGGTGACCTCTTACATTTGCTGGTGACAACACGGCATGTGAGTCTTCGGCAGTACCAATAAGTGGGGCTGTGAACAGCTCAGGACCCCACAGTCATGCCCACAGGTCTTCCTGCTTTGGAGGTGACAGTCACTACTGGGTAAGGTGGAATCTGGTGTCTCCACAGTGTGGTCACTATGTTTCCTCTACAATGAGTAATTTGTCAGGAAACACCTTGAGAGGATGTACATATCCTGTTACTCATCGAGCTGTCCCCCCATTAGATGTGGCATTCACTGATGATCCTGGCCTGAGTCAATTTTTACTATAATGGTTGCAAAGTGTAGATTTGCTAACTCCGTCATTCCTTCTGGATGAAATTCTACATTCTACTGCAAGGAAGGGCTCCCCGTCTCTCTCTCTACATAGCCGGCTATCTCTGTATGAACCCCTAGACTCTCGTTTCATTCAATCGGTGATAACCCACTACTGTCTCGTTTATTCTAATGGTCACGTTGTCCCAGTTTGGACACTGGGAGGCTCTTCGAGCGGCTTCTCTTTCTTCTGGACAAGCCCCTATCAAATATTTGGAGCACGTCTTACATTCTGCTACAACACAATGTTCAAGGTTTTTGTATCTTCCCTTCCTCAGCCCCATGTCTGCCATTTCTCACACATTCGTGTATCCTCCGAGTGGGATATGCTATTTAGAAACCAAGATCTGAGCAAAAACCGCTCCCTTGAAAAGTACCACAGTCAACTAAGACAAACAAATCGACGATACTTCTATGGAGATTTTATTCCTTTAAAACGTGGCTTGGAAAAACTCCTCTACATGAACTATGGCCAGAGTAAGCCAAAATTCTGATTCTTCATTAAAATCAATACCAAGATAACAAAGAATAAATTTCATTAAGGATGGAATATTTCTATTCTTTAAACAGCCAAGAAAACATGACTTTAAAACAGAAAAAGTTTTGTTCCTTGAGGGAAAAATTAAGCAAGCAAAGAATGAGGCAATATGTGTTTCTCCAAAATATCAGGGGTTTCTTATGGTAATTGTGTTCGTAAAAAGGGTAATTGAAAACATATTCATATTACTATTATTCTTTTCTCTTTTAGTTTCTTTTATTTCCAAATGACTGTCATATGCTAAGTCAAGATAAACCTAAAATGAAAAGGAGCTATTTCAATCATAAGAAATTAACTGACTAAATGACACAGAAATATGCAACAAATCTGGGTCTTGATATCACACACAAAGAGAAGCGGTGATGTGTCGTGTCTGTCTAATGGAATTCAAACTTATTCATACAATTACAGGCTTCAAAGTGAAACGCACTCATCGTATTCTAATTACATCTTCAAAACTTTAAACATAAGCTGAAACCAGCTCAAAGGCATGTAAGACAAATTAGCTATGGTCATCAACAGCTTTGAGCCACCTGGTCACTCCCTCCTCCCTGAAGCACTGGCTTCACTTGGTTTCCAGGTAACTCACCCTCGGCTTTCCTCCTCCGGGACCTCCTCCTCTCAAGAGTGCTTTGCTGGGTGTCCCTCATCTGTCAGAGGCCAGAGCTCAGGCCTTGGATGGCTCCGCCCTCAGCCTGGGTGATCTCAGCCACCCCTGTGCTCCAACTCCTTCCGGGGGCAAAACGTGACCCCCAGTCAGCCCTCCTGAGCCCCAAACTTCCTCTATCCACCACTGCCAACCTGACACCCCCACACACATGGCAAATGGCACAGGCCACCTGGGATTCCTGATCTGTTCCCAAGCCACTCTGCCTGCATCTTCCCCAGCTCACAAATGGTGACCCCAAACTTCCAGTTGCTCAGACCGAAACCTGAGAGTCACCCTTCACAACTTTCCCTCCCCCCACGGTGGCCTGCGATCCTTTTCGGCACCCCTGGTTTCCTCCGCTCCTCTACTCAAACCCACGATGGCTCCCGCCTTACAAGGGCCCAGTGTCCTTCCCATCTCAACCCCCTTTCCCCCTCCCTCCGCTCACTCACCTCCCTGCTGCTCCTGGAATCCAACAGGCTCACACCCCTCAGCACTTAATTGCCAGGTCCTCCGCTCCCCCCTTCAGACCAGCTGCACAGCTCCCTCCCCCACCTCCACGTGTCCCTGATCAGGGACAGTCCCTGCTGCACAGCACCTACCCCTTTCTACTGTAGACAGTTTATCAGGCATCTCACCTGGTATCTGCTCGCCCCACTAGCACAGACGCACCCAGTGCAGAGATGATTCTCTCTCATCCCCTGAAGCATCCCAAGTGGGCCATGAATAAATACTGGTCAAATGAATGAATGAAGGATAAATGATTCAATCGCAAATCATTTCTTTATCAGAACATGGTGATATTTTCATCCATTGATTCATAACAGGATTCATAACCAAAATTATATTAGTCATTCTTCGAAATTATGAACTTTAATAGCCCACTGGGAGACATGTACTTAATGGGTATGTTTATGCCATAAGTACTCATCCATTTAACAAATACTTCCCGAGCGTCACTCTGCCGAGGCTGCCATGCTGGAGGTCTGGTGGCGAACACAAACGTGGCCTTTGTTTGAGCAAACACCACCAAAGCCATCACGCCCGGAAATACTCGCTGCCCCGTCTAAGGAGAGGGGAGCAGGCGCTGCACGAATGGAAAAGAGGGGCGCTGGGGCTCGGCTCCCTGGGGGGGTCGGGGCCAGCTTCTCAGAGGAAAAGACATTTGACCACGAGGGTCAATAGGTGTTCGCCAACTAGGCCTAGAGCTGGGGACTGAAGTCAGGGGAGGACAGGGCCCCGCACTCCGTGGAGTCCAGGGGCCCAAGGGAGGCCCCGGGCTGGTGCGCACAGAGCTGGGGGAGCCTCAGGGCCATGCGGAGGGGTTGGGCGTTACCCTCGCTGCTTTTAAGCAGCAAGAAGTCACAGAGGGTTTTCAACAGGGACACAGGTGATCTGTTCTCCATTTTGAAAAGATGCTCATGGTACATAAACTCGTCTTAAGTGTGGGCATTTACAACCCTACTGCTGGGCTGCCAGGTCCAAATGTGACTCTCATTACTACTTTGTTAGATGCAGACCAGTGAAATTTTTAGGGCACCTCTGATTTCGAACTCTGACTGCAAACAGCTGTCACAAATGATCGGTCCAGCATCAAAAGCAGGGTGAGGGTTTGTGACAAGGTTTCTCCCTCTGAAGTTCCCCACACGTCCTCCTGGCCCTCTCATGACCTACATGTGCTTCAGCTGCCCGAGACACGGCACAGCACCCTGGCTTTGCTGAGCCCGAGACATTGCATGGTACTCTGGCTTTGCTGAGCCACCTAAGCCGGACCAGAACACTGACCCGTGCTCAGGGAAGGGAAACGCGTTTTCACAGGGGACAGAGTGACGGGCCCGGGCAGGTAAAAGGGCTTTGCAGCGCTGACAGAGTGACCGAGGGTTCCCTGGCCAGCGCGCCTGCTCTCGCTCAGGCCTCCACGCAGGCAAAGCCTGATGAGGGTGGAGAGCTGGGCCCTCCACACGGGGCACCAGGCCTCCAGGCCGACAGGAGCTGCCCAGGCCCTCTGCAGCCACGATCCTCATCCACTGGCACGGAAACCCGCAAGTGCGCTGGACCCGGCACTCCGAGGCACGTGAGTGCGTCCCGTGTGGCAGCTGCCCTTCTCCTTCTTGAGGACAGTGAACTGCTACACGTTCCTTATTTAATACTTCTCTGTGTACAGAAGACTGGACAATAACTGCAGGAGTGTTGATCAGAATAATAGGACTCTTATTTCCCCTGAGTGAACGGCTCCAAAAACTGACAATCCTCAAACATGGTCAGAGGCACAAGGAGTTGGAGCCCACAACTTATGTGGTGACAGTGACTACCAAAGGCCACTGCTGCCCCCTGCTGAGAGAGAGCTGCCGTGGCTTCATAAGCTCACATCTCAGGCCATCATCTGGACGCTCAACACTGCATGGAAGTCCCAATAGATACCACACTGTTTTTAGAAAGCATGCATTTCAAATTAAAGTTATTTGCCCCCAAATGCTAATCATTCTGAAGGAATGTCCAACCATCATAATAAGTAGTAAATAACCATCAAATTGCATAGCAAGTCTACGATCCCAAAGTATTTTTTTTAATCACCAAGGATACTGCCTTCAACCCTTTATTTCTACATCAAAAGTGTAGGCACCCAGGCTTCGCCTTCACTTTAGGCTTATGGAGAATTATGAACATATAGAATCCTGACACTTTCAAGAATATGTAACAAAAACACTTCTAAATTGACTTCAAAAAATAAAATGGCATTGCACTGAAGTTTCTAACGGTATGAATAAATTTCACAAGTACTGAAATATCTTATACAAAAATTAAGGTATGAATAAGAAAACAGAATAAAAAAAGGAAATTTCTTTTTAATTGAAAACCACATCAGTTTTATAGTGGCATTTCAGCAAACATCCAATTTCTCCAAGATTATTATGGCTGCAATTACAGACTTTGGAAAGCGAAAAGGGATTTCTTTACATGGTCTGTAAACCAACAATTACAGCAAACGCATCCCTTCCTGGTCATCTCTCCAATGGCTAAATTTAGGACCGTTACGATGCTGTGGTATTTTCACTTCTGAAAGTATATAATCAAAGTTCAGTACAAATCAGTCATCTGAGGTCAATTGAAACTAGTCAGTGCTCATTCGCCCTGAAAATTATCTTATTGCAAAATCGGAGGAATGATCAATTCAGAGAGAACATCCCATTAACTTCCCCAAGTGATTTCAGCTGGATGGAAGTGAGTGACCGTGAAAATCTCCAACTGCGTGAGGCACTGGGAGCTCATGAAGCAGTTTTCAGACTGGAAGTTTTAGGGCTTAGATAGATAATTGAGATTTTTATCTGAAGCAAAAGCTTTAAAATATGACTGAATCTTTTACGATTAAACTTTTAAGGCCCTGAAGTATTTTGTGTAACCAACGAAGTGAAATCCAGTGTTCCCTCAGGATCTATGGGAGGCTGTCATTTTGCACAGGGGGAGCAGGCCACAGAGAGGTGCTCTGTTAGGGCTGGAAGGGCCTTCACAAACTAAAACCAGCGAGTGCATACTCACCATCTGAGGCACCCCAAAAACAACGACGTTTGAGTACTGCGAAAAGGTAACCTAAAGGAGGGGGGAGAAACAATTCATCGATTAACTTTTTTTTATTAAGTTTATTGGGGTAACATTGGTTAATACAATTATATAATTTTCAGATTAACTTTTTAAAGCCAAACATCCAGCTTAACTTTTGTTTCAAAATGAGTAGCAATTTCCCATTTCACCAAACAGCAGGTTTCACAGGCCCGTTTAGGATTTCACAAGGAAAACATCATGCGCTCATTTTCGTTCCTTAGTTTAATCCACGAGTTTTCCAAATGCTTCCCCGTAAGTCACCTCATCTCATCTCACAGCAACTCCATGCAGGGCCTGCCCCAAGGGTCATCCATCAGAAAGGCCAGTGACTCGTCCAGTGACCAGCTGGTGGCCGAGCCAGTTGGCCCCAAGCCGTCTGTGCCCCTGGTCCACGCTACCCTATTCTACACCAAAGCAGCCTCACAGGCACTCGAGGGAGCTCAGGACCACCTGTTTTTCATGTTGAACCATCCTTAAAACTCTAGTCTCCCTCCTCTTCTCTGAAATAAGTAAAAAATGCAATAAAATGATCTTTAGTTAAAAACCTGGGGGAAAAAGTGCTTTGCCAGTCAAAATTCTTATTGCCAAATAAAAGTCTTATTTTCTCCACAGAGAGATCATTTATGTATACATGGTATAAAAGAATGCAAGCACTGATGACGATATTAAAATGGGCAATTCTTATTTAAGAGAAAGCATCTAAGGAGCATTCCCAAAACAAAATTACAGGGCCTTTTTTTCCACAGCACAAATAAACTTAGAAGTATCCTGTACTTCTGAAGACGAGGAAGGACCATGACAGCATGGTTGGAGGTGTCTTTTCTCTGCCTCCCTCTAAATACACACACGTGCATGTGTGTACACACACACACACACACACACACAGTCTACTATTTACCAAGAATGACTTTAACAAGTTAATGCCTATATTACAATTTATGAGATTTCCAAATGAAATGAAAAAAAAAATCTCATCATTCTGTAATCAACGGAAATGAGAACTTGTTTAATTGAGCAAATAAATTCTTGGAATTCACGTGACCTATTATGTCATAAACCTCTTGCTTCTACGCTAAGGCAGAGTCGATCTGCAAATCTATCCATCTGAAAGGCGTTCACATTTCATTGTGCTGAAATATACACTTGTATTTTAATTATTTTTCAGTTTTCAACCATACTAATTATGAATTACAAAGTTTTGGTTGGAGTTTCTAGGCCCGCTCTCTGCCTTACGTACCTTCCACAAGTCTGAAATATAAAATGTGGCCAAATCCTGTACCCCTTCTCGCCAAGCACGGTACCTGGAGTACCACACCAGCCACGGGTTTAATTCATAACCCGCAGCCACGAAGCCTTCCTTTGCAGCTGCTATCACCTGCAGAAAGAGGCCAGTGTTCACTCAGGATAAGAAAAGCATCAACTTACACGGTCAAAGGATATGAATACTTCCCATTTCACATTCTCTATAATCGTAAAACGGCCCATCGAAAGGCTCCTCCTTCATTCAAGACAGCACTTGAAGATAGATCCCTAAAGTCATATAGCTCTATGGGCAAGATAATGCCAGCCAATTTAAACTCGGTTTTCATGTTTTTGTCAAAGATTTCACCCCGAGCATCGGAACAGACTGTCAAGTTTGCTTTGGACAACTACATCATTAAGTCTGGATTGGCCAACCAAAGTTGCTGAAAGCCCACCGTCTCTCTCCAGAGATAGCACAGCAGTAGCAGAAGTAAATGTGCCTGGGACAATGAACTGTGAGCTAGTTGTAATAGGCAATAAAAATAACCTGTCAATAAAGAACTTGCAATTAATTACACGTCTCCTTGGTGTTTACGATAGTTCACTGAAAACTGGATGCAGGTAAAACAGAACAAGTCAGAATAAAGTCAACTGTAGAATGCCACCTGCCTCTGCAAGGTGACAGGGAGGGTGGGCTGGTCTTGGGGTCTCCCTGCTCATTTGGTCTTGCCACCACTCTTCGAGGGAACATCCCTGAAAACGCTGTCCCACCCAAGGTAATCTCCCAAGTAACTATGGTGTCGCCTCTTTTAAGAAGGAACCACAAAGATACCATTTGGATGTATAAAACATCAAATCTGGATTTTAAAACTTCCTCCTGATTAATACACACATCTCCAGATTTCTTAAAGGCACTTTTTTACCTCTCCCTGATTATTCTAGGTTACCATGATGGAAACGCAGGGCCCACGTCTGCAGGAGCTGGCGAAACACACTGAGGCCTGCTGGTCTCCACGCTGTTTCCAGAACAGCAGGCTTGCATACTGCTAGCCTCACTTTTCGGCTCATCATTTGATGGAGGCCTACAACGGTGCCACCTTGCCTGTGGAGGATCATGCTCTGGGACACCTGTTTGCCAGTAGTGGCCTTGAGTCTTTTCTTACAGGTTCTCAGCTGGGGTCAAAGTGAGCTGAGGTCATTAAAAGTCTAACCTTTGGATAAGTGGAGGTTAACGCACTGGCTCTGCCCTATTTCAACTCTATTACCCCACAGAAATTATACAAGTATAAACAAACATTAAAAAAAAAGATGATTTAACAAGTTTTTCTAGTTATGCCACCTCTATTGGCCCAAGTTTTTTAACAGGCAATATAATAATTACCAATTAACCGGTCCTTTTTAACTGGCATATCTACAGAGCATTTTCTCCTTTAAGAAAAAAATTAAATCTGAAAAATGTAAATTCCAAATTCATGCTGGAGGGTTTGATAGTTCAGCCAAACAAACACAAAATTAAACTGCTTTATTGAACTGTCAGACTGAGCGAGTCTTTGCATAAAGCTCACAAGAAACACGAAACAAATTTTAACGATTCTGGCTCCCAACCTGAACGTCTTAGCGTAACTCACAATCCGCCCGTCGCCGCTGCCGACGTCCACGAGCGGCCCCCTCCGGCTTCGCAACGCTTTCAGGACATTTTCGACCTGCTTTGCGGTCGCAGGTACAAAGGGCACACAGACTGCTCGGAGGGCCGGAGTTATAAATGGTGTGGCCACAGCATACACAGCCACCAGTGCCCCACCGACGATCCCGGGAAATAAGAGTCCCCAACTGCTTTTCTTCAAACCGTTGGCTTCGAGGCTTGTAGGCAGGACATCTCCTAACTGACTTCCTTCTTTAAGTGTTCCTGGGGGTGTGCCTAGGTTGAGAGCGAGCGGAAAATATAAAGGTAGCATCAAATCTGAAATCCAAGGCAGCATTTTTATGATTCTTACTGACAAATAAACTCATGCTTTTCAAAGAATGATAAATTATCTGAGTATTTAAATTACAAATGCAGGATTCTACAATGAGTTCTAAATTCCATGAACTAACGTGTTTTAGAGAAAATTATCTGATACCGGTGGAAAACTAAAATGTTTTCTTTCCAACATTTTTTTTTTTTTTGTCTCTAGGAGTAAAACTTAGAAAACAGTATATTCATACCTACTGGGTATTTTATGAATTCCATATCTATTAATACAAATGTTAACCATGAACTCCATATTTTTATGGTTCGGAACAAAGCCTCATAAACAAATAAGCATGAAAATGTCTATTACTCTATTTCAAATAGGATGAAAGGATTTTGCATCAAAATTGGTCAGGCATCTCTCTAATACAGTGACACAATAGAATTTTGAAGTAACAAAGGAGACAAAAATAGGTTTTACTAAAAATCTTAAATAAGTATGGTAATAGATTTTTAAAGCAGATCCAAAAAGAAAAATAAAATAATCATTTCAGTGCTATCATGGGCACAAAATAAAGCAAAAAAATTCCAAACACTGATTACAGGGAAATGAATGGTACTTTTTATAGCTACCTCCTGAGTCTTACCCTTTAAAACGTATTCATAAGACCTCAAGTTTTTTAGATTGAAATTGATTAACCACCACAGCCCCACAGGTAAGAGCTGGAGCCTGTTGTGGTCAGGACCCCACACACCTCTCTCTCTGAGCCTCGTCTTCCTCATTTGAAAAAGTGGGGTTTATGAGGTCATTGTGAGAATCAAAGGTGAAGGACTGTGCCTGGTACTGGAACCCCCCAGGGAACAAGACCTTCCACCCTGAAGCGGCCCACCATCGAGTTGAGGAGCAAAGGTGAATATCACAGGACTCCAGAGGGAAAGGGAGGAGGAAGAGGACACAGATTCTTATCATTCAAAAGCATTAACGTTGCAGTTTCCGTAACTAACAAGCCATTCAAAAGGCCCACTGGCTTAGTGTCCACAACCTGCGGTAAATGACCACACACTCAGTGGGTGAAAACAACACACATTTACTATCACACGGTTCTGGAAGTGAACTAAAGTGGGCCGGCAGCTCCGCGTTCCTTCTAGAGGCTCCCGGGTGTGATGAGTCTGCCAGCATCGCCTTTTCCAGCTCCCAGGGGCTGCCGCTGTGCCCAGTCCTGTATTGGAGCCTTGTGATGGCACTGGGCCCACTCAGACAAGCCAGGATAATCTCCCCATCTCAAAGTCCCTAACTTAATCCCATCTGCGAAATCTCTCATGTAACATACTCACAACCTTTGACTCACAAGGCCTGGAGATTAGGACGTGGACCTACCTGGGGGGCCATTGTGCCACCTACCTCTCCTGAAATGATCTGTTACAACTTTTGGCGTACAAATTTGAACACAGGACACACCAAAAGCTGGCCCACAGCAGTGAGTCCTGCTGCAGGGCAGCTGACCAACCACCAGCATCTCCCGTTCAGTGTGGCTTTTTAATTCCTGATGCCTGAGGTCCCCGAAAGTGAGTTTCAAAACTAGTTCATAGTGGAAACTGACTCAGAAACCGAAACAACAAAAGTCCACTGCTGGTGCGGGTGGTAAAATGGAAGTTTAGGAAGGTGACAGTGTTTGATAGAAAGCAAAAGTTTGCTATACATTTTCATATACTTTCCAGCATCATACGAAAGACCTTATATGCTACAATGGTCGTCATTCGTGCATCTGAATATTTTTTAAACAGTCAGAGCACATGTGCCATGCCTCGCATGCCTTGTATAAAGTAATCCTGTGGCACTGCAACTATGTGGCATAGTGGTTAAGAGGGTTTGAGTGACACAGTTCTGGATTCTGAGAACTTAACTAGTTGTGTGACACTAGGTAAGTTGTTGCTAAGGCTGAGATTCCTCACCTGTATGACTCAGGAATACTGCTATCCTCAGAGGGCTACTGGGACAGTTAAACAAGTAATGCCTACAAAGCCCTCAGCACAGGCCTGATAGAGTAAGTGATGACTATCAGGCACTATTAATATTCTCAATACTATGGGGGGAGAGGAATCAATGTTTAACGGCTTTCTCAAAATATAATTCATATACCACACAATTTGCCCATTTAATATGTACAATTCAAAGGTTTTTAGCATATTTAGATACTTGTAACAATCACCACACATACAATTTGGAAACATTTTCATTACCTCAAGAAACACAACCTTTTACAACCTTGTCACCCGCCCCTATTCTCCCTCTCACCCCCCCACCCTCACCCCCACCCCAGCTCTCAGGAACCAGTCGTCTACCTCCTGTCTGCATAGGCCCTACTCTGGACTTTCATAGGAGTAGAATCACATGAAAGTGGTCGGTAGGCAGTCTTTTTTAAGATTCATTCACATTGTATCATGGATTCATGTTTTATTCCTTTTTATGGCCAAATAATATTCCATTGCATGGACATACCACAGGTTGTTTACCCGTTTGTCCTTTAATGGGCAGTCTCTCTAGTCAGCAGAAGCCGGTAGACAGTTGATTAGACAAACGTGACCAGACAACCCAGATTCTATTTCACCTGTGTAGACTTGTACCCTTGTGGACCAGCGAAAGATATAATAAAGAGCTCCCATCTTCGGGGCCTCCCATCTAACCTGTGTGTGCAGGGTCCAGGTGAAGCAGATACAAGGCAGGTTGTGAGAAATGCTAGAACATGTAGAAAACACTATAGAAATATAGGGGGAGGTGGAGGAATGACTGGTCCCAACAGGGAACCAGGATGGCATTGGCAGAGAATGTGAGTGTGCACGAGGGTGAGGGAGCCATGCACTAAGGCATAGAAGGTGGCGAACTGGCAGCTGAGCAGAGTCGGGGAGAGAGCAGGAAGGCTGGTGGGGGACCCCGATGCCAGGCTAAATGTGTATTTCACTCTCGTGCACTGGAATGACACTTTTTGAGCAAAATCACAATATTTGTGTTTTTACGGACAGCAACACCAGCAGTAGCGTCCCTTGATGCAATCAGTAAATGTTCTGTCACAAGGGTTTACACCTGCAAGTCTTTCAACTTCACAAAAATTTGTACGAGCTTTTAAAGTTACTCTGTAAATCCAATATATGACTACACTGTTACCTCTAGTCAATAAAAAAAAGTATTGATTTTTATCAGTGAAAACCATTCCCTGAAGATTTGAAACTAAAATCGAGATTGTTTCTACAAATTTCTAATTCTTTTAATGGAACATGTTTAGATTCATAAGACTATTTACTACGTTACAAATAAATGATAGAGATCTCTGTCAGATGTGCTCTTTGGAACACCAAGCCATTCCAGCACATGAGAACTGTGGCGACAGGTGGCTATTTTTGTTGAGCGCTTGGAGGGAGTCAATCTGAAAAAAAGGACCCACAGAGGGTAACTTCTGTGTCTCCACGCTTGCCTGGTTACTGACTTCTGATAATGGTTGAAAATTTCAATTTTCAGGGACAGATTTGGGTCAGCTAAAGCTAGCGGCAGTGACTGAGATGTACAAAAAGGTACACAGGGTTCTGATCCAAGCTCAAGCCAAAGGAAAAAGACCAGGAAGAACAGGCCTGTTTGAAATCGTGAACTGCCACCTGTGTTTAAAGTGGGGTTTGTATTTGAATGTCACAATATTTAACGGCTATTGTATATCTGCATTTGCATACTAGTTGAAAAACTACAGTATATATTTTATGTCCCTTTAACGTATTTTTCTGGTCCCTTAAGAAGCCTTTCCTGTACTGGTCTAAAATCATTTATGTCCTTCGGTATACAGCATCTGCTGATACTAGGAAAAACCTTTTTTTCCGTGTTTAGACAGGAACTAAAATTAAAAGCAAACACCATGGAGAACATCATTAGACCTTTCCTATACTCGACAAGTCTAATGAGCCAGAGATGGCAGAAGTCACCATTTTGAATGAGGAAAGACAGAAGTGACCAAGTGAAAGCGAAGTGAGGCCTGACTCCAAAATCTACAAAGTCCTTGGATCATCACTCTGTCCTGAAAGTGGGCCAAGCACTGGGTTAAACGATCACCAACCACCCAGTAACAAGGCCAGTTCTTGACTTTCAGGCCAGGATTAATTAAATGTTATAATAGGCGTACGTTGCAACATTTGACCATCTAATAAAGGCTTAGAATAATAATACAACAAGGGTAAGTCGTGTTCTATGTCAACTAGGAGCGGGGAAGCTGGAAAGCCATGACAAATAAATCTAAGCCCATAAAACATTAGGTCGTGATCAGGGCGCTGAAGAAAAAGCAGTGTAAGGGGCTTGGAGGACCAGAGACTATTCAGTTAGGGTTGCCAGATTTCCGAGGCACCCCCCAGAGTTTCAGAGCGGGACCCTTGGCGCAATTTTGCTTCTTCCTAACCAGCTGCATAAGGCTGGGCAAGTTACTGGACCATTCGTGCAAAATGGGTTTTACTTAAACAGAGCTTGGTAAGAGCCAGGCACTGTTCTCTGTGAATCCGTACGGCAGCTGTGTAAGGTAGATAAGATACATTACTACCATTTTTGCCGACAAGGTAACTGAGGCACAAACAGGTCAAGTCACTGGCCCCAAAGACAGCTAGTAAAATGGTAACGCTGTGATTCCCAGCCAGCCAGAGTTAACTGCAGCACCTAAATCACATAAGAGCTTGCCGAGGACTAGTGAGTTAGTCATCTGAAAGCGCTCAGAACAGTTCCGGGCAGCGGGGTCCAAGGACCAGCCAACGCGCCCGCGACCTGACGACAGGGCACCCGGGCAGGCACCGAAGGGCGGACAGGCGCGGCGCGCACAAGCACTGCGCGC